TATTGCCACAGCACTCATGACAAATCAAACATTAACAACACTTGACTTAGCCGACAACAAAATATCAGCTGATGGAGCAAAAGCTATTGCCACAGCACTCATGACAAATCAAACATTAACAACACTTGACTTAGGCTACAACCAAATATCAGCTGATGAAGCTACAGCTATTGCCGCAGCACTCATGACAAATCAAACATTAACAACACTTAACTTATGGAACAACCAAATATCAGCTGATGGAGCTAAAGCTATTGCCACAGCACTAATGACAAATCAAACATTAACAACACTTAACTTATGGAACAACCAAATATCAGCTGATGGAGCTAAAGCTATTGCCGCAGCACTCATGACAAATCAGACATTAACAACACTTGACTTAGGCTACAACCAAATATCAGCTGATGGAGCTACAGCTATTGCCACAGCACTCATGACAAATCAAACATTAACAACACTTGACTTAGGCTACAACCAAATATCAGCTGATGAAGCTAAAGCTATTGCCACAGCACTCATGACAAATCAAACATTAACAACACTTGACTTAGAAGACAACTCTATATCAGCTGATGGAGCTAAAGCTATTGCCACAGCACTCATGACAAATCAAACATTAACAACACTTAGCTTAGGCTACACGCGCGGTACAACGTAACTCGTCACGCTGATTCAGAATATGTAAAAATCTGGAGGTCTCTAGAAAAAAAACATCAAATTTTGATATGTTTCGTCCGTTAGGGATCGTTCTATTAATTTACCAGGCGTTTTTTGCTACAGTTTGTAGGCTTAAGATTTTCAAGTCGATATCTTTAGGTTACTTGTTGTGTCCGAAAAGTAATTGTATTGCTGGAAAGTCTTTTCTGGACGTGTGAATATTCTTCCACGCACGGAAAGTGCAAGTATAGAAGTATTTGTTAGCTATCTTTTGTTTAGTTTGTGAAAAAGATTTTATTTGCTAAAAATGATAACCTCATTTTGCTCATAGGATTTGGGTGATTTGATCACCGCGATCTAGGTCCTGGTTCTTCTGCCGTCCCTCACTCAATTGAGACGCGAAACACATACAGGAAACTTCAAAAAAAGAAATAGCTTCATTTTCGAGCGAGTTCCCTTTGAGTTTACACTCCGATTTTTGAGGGATATAGGAAGTGCTTTCGGCTATAATTTGACACTATCTTCTAGCCTACGTCACCCGCAAAGCAGGGAGGACAAACCACAGAAGACTTTTCAGAATTTCCTTCACGTAGGAGCAAGAAATACCCGTAAATGTAACCTAGAAAACCAGAAAAGGTGTTCTAAGTTACGGAAATTGGTTCTTATTAGTAACAAATGCAGACACCCTTTTTTTGGTGTTGTAGGATACCTTTTTTCTTAGAGAGTGCAGCTAGCTAAAAGGAAAAAATTTAGTGGGTGTAGCTAGCTGCACCGGGACAAACCAAATAGCAACATCGTGATCATTCTTAGCTGCAGCGCGATAATTGTGACCATACTGTAAACACTGTACGTGATTAATAAATACCACATCTATTATTGTTTTCCACTGTTAAATTTTGAACAATCAGGATATAAGTAGCGGCTGTTTCGGAAAACAAAACTATGAGTGATAAATGATCGGTATTAGTGACGTAGAGGACGCAACTTTTGTAGAATACCTTTGCGAAAAATCTATTTTGCTAAGAATAGAACAATTTGAGAAGTGCTGAAGTAAAAGGAGAACAGGGATGTCATGGATTACCATTCGCTATTCAACCGTGCGATGACCTGTGATTATGTGGTCAGTCGTATTATTTGTGTTTTGTCTAGAGTTCATAATGTTATCTTGCGCTTGTTATTGTAGGAATTGTGCAAACGACTGGTGAAAGTATTTTGCAAACAACAGCGAAACTAGTGGAAGCGACTACTAAGACGGGTGCGCACTGTTCCTTTCAGTTATCTATCTAGCACTAAGTTAGTATGTAAGAGCATTTTCCGTCGGAGATTCAGTGATGGTAGTAAGTGCTTAGCTGCTACCGTTTCTGATGTTTTGGATTAATACGATTTTAACGTAGCTTTGTTACCCCATGCAGTGGCCGTTTCAGCTAGTACACAATTTCAACCATCATGCAGCTAGATAAATGTACCTTTTAATCTAGTTAATCTAGCTGTAAGTGGGCGCTGCAGCTACTTCTGCAGCTAGATTTTCTCGCTTACTTAGTTTTGCTTGGGTATTTACGATCATCAGTAAGGGCCGTGCATATTTTTCGTTTTTTATTATAATCCGATGTTATTTGGATGTTATCAGAGTTCGATGCATACATAGCATTTTGTATTTAATAAGTATCGTTCAGTCACTGATCACCTAATGATATGTATAGTGGATGATACTGCGAAGTTCCTAATCAGGGATTAACGAAGGAGAGTGGTATTGATTGTATGAGAAGCAGGTTGGGTTGTGTGATGATATATGAGGTTAGTCGACGCTTAGATGATTGTGTGGTTGCGCTTTTTATTGCCCGGTACTGGGTGATTTTTTCATGTAGATTGTTGATGCCGGATAAGAGATAAATGTGCGATGTATTCGTGTATATTCATTGCGATGGTTGTGGAACAATTTAAAGAAATGTCTTGCGTTTTCGAGAGCTTTGATTTTTACTTTTGAACACGAAGAGTTTTGTCATTGATCTCAGTTATCCAGCTCATTTTAGTTCTTCAACCACGTATTTCGCGAGAGACAAATATTCTTTCTTGTGGTCCAGAAATACCTGAACACTTTTGGAAATAGAATGCTACTCTCACTAGCACAGTGGCTGAAGGTTTCATTATATGTTATATAATTCATTATATGATTCAAAAATATCCAGTGTATAAATCCAGCCTGGTATCATATAGCACAAGAAAAGCATTAAGGATTGAAACAAAGTATACGAATAAATTCTCCAAATCTGTTGATGGGAGCATGATCATTAAAAGTGGAATCGCACGATTAGAAACACTTTGTAAAAAACAAAAGTCTGATCGGAGTAATTTCTGAAAATTGGAATGTTTTAATGCTTTGAATGATATGTAGAAGAATCTCATTTAATGGCAAAACTAATAATTAAATTTTGTAGAGAATTAAGGTCTACACCTATTGATTGTATAATGAAACCCTCAAGCGCTGCATTTAATAGAATAAAATTTTGCTTCAAAGGGTTCAGTTATTATTTCTGGACTGCGCAATAAGTAGGAATATGGAATAATGAGCTTTACTAATTTTTTGCGCATTCATGTTAGGTCCCTCTATGAGATAAATGAAAAGCACATTTTCTGTTTTCTAAAGAACTTGTCTTTTCTACAGTGTAGCACTTGGGTTGTGGACGAGTTGGTAGATCTATGCAACCTCAATTTAATGACAAACATAACAGAGGAGCGCTTTACATTATTCTACGATAGTTTGACTATTGCTATTATTTATCATAGAAAGACCACAAACAGCTACAGTAATTCCAACAAAAGAATCAGTCACTAGTGCAAAACCAAGTAATTGCTCTGTTTAATAGACGTACTATGCTGCTTAATTATTGTTCGTCTATATCTGTAGGTCTATGTAGTGTAAATTCAACTGTATTTTTCGCTTGTAGTAGAATTTGCGATGGTGGCATGAAAGAGCGAACAAATTTGTGTTTTATGAACAATAGACGAGTACCATGTAAATCCTGCAAAATTCAAGATAACGAAGTGGAGAAATGTAACATATGGCCATGTCCAAGTAGGTTTTTCTCATCTAACCAGTATGAGTTTTACCGATCAGTTTTGAACTATACTACCCACATATGTGAACATGTTTCTGTATAAATATAGAATGTCGTGTAGAAGTTGATGTTGGTATTTTACTGGATTCATCTTCAAGTATCAAAGAATGGGCTGTAGTTGTAAATGCCACTTCCGAGTTTGTTCCTGTTTTCAAAAATCAAAATGTTTCAGTCTTGTTTGGTATTGTTCTGTATGCAAATAGACCACAAATATTTCGACGTTTTAATCAACCTGTTACTATCGAAGATATTCGTCGATTGGGCCGTATGTCAGGTGGTACACAAACTAAGGTGGTACACAACGTGTTCGTACCTCATATGTACGAAATGTTACAAAATCAAATTTAATTAATACTTATTTTGAAAATAAAAGTCGTTTCAAATTTATTGAAAATTTGGATATGTTACCGTTGAGAGCAGAAACAATAAATGATTGTGAAATCCTCTTGTTGCAGACGCTCAAATCCCAGTGCAAAACTCTGGATGAAGAACGTTATAATACGATAAAAAAATGGCCAAGAAAATTTGAGTGAGTTATTTATACTATTTTAGGCTGAATTAGTTTATACATTACCTATGACCTTTTCATGAAACAATCGCTGACTTGTCTCTACTCTTATGTCACACAATTTTTTAATGTCTAGTGATATAACAGCTTTGAAAGCTCTGCCTCCAACGATCGATGCTGCTCATCAACATTTTAAAAGAGCAGCTGTTGCTGTAAATATGTGGTGCAGAAATGCTCAATCATTAATCTGTGACAAGAATGGTTTTGAAAATATCAATGGAAACTCAAAAGTTAAATGGATTACTAAATCTACAACTCCGGATCCATCACTCGCAACGTCATGCGGATGTAAAAGCGGAAATTGCAAATCTTGCATATGTGTAAAAAGTAATTTGAAATGTATACCAAAATATTGTTCGTGTGATGATAGTAAGTGTACAAGAAGGTAACTATAATAAGTAGTCAGTATGCAGGTAAGATTTGTAAGTCCTGCTCATTCTACAACTATTCAAATGATTTTTCTATTTCGTCTCGGAAAAACACCTATCATTAGTATCAAAAACCAACAACAGTGGCCACATCTCAGAGAAACAATAACAGTGGATTTAGTACCTATTTCAAAACTATGTATTTATACCCTACTTACAGTTCTCTACAAAAGTAGCTGTTTGCTGCTCTGTTTACGTATTTTTGTGTTTTATTTGTGATAACAATGGTAGGGAAGCAAATCAATAAAAGTTATAGTAATGAACTTCATAATGCTTCTGTCGTTAAAAAAATGCTTACTGAACGTTGTCAATCGTCGCCTATAATACTAGTAAGATGTTTGCTGTACCTGACAACAAGCATAATATTGAAAGAATCGAGAATTGTCTTTGAACGGCAAAACTTTTGTCAACGAGTGCACTTGTGTGGTGTAAAAGACCGGAAACGGTTTGTGCAATATGATTTTGAGCTAAACTTATAGAATAAACTTATAAAACTTCTTCTTGAAACTTCAAAGAGAATCTCTTATAATCTTTCATTAGAGTCCTTAACAAAACGCATTAAGGGGGTTCCCCGCCTCCGAAATTGATGATTTTCTATCTACTACATTTATCGAAAGTCTGATCCGTAGCAATTTTTTAATTTCGTTTTCTGTGCAGAGAAAACTGCCAAATACTCCTCCGAATTAGAGTTATTTTCAGAGTTCTGACTTAAAATACGTGCAGGGAATGAACGGAATCGAAATTCAAAAATCGCTGTGGACCAAGCTTTGGATTTAGGTGTTTACTTTCATTTGAGGTCACTCGCAGCTTTCTGCACCTTGCAACAAAAAAGTCTTTACGTTTTTGCTGAGAACCTCATTTTGCCCCTTGTCACGCAATAACTCGGTAGCACTTCAACGTTTCGATCTCGAATTTTCAGCATAAGCTCCTTGGACAGTAAGCATTAGTCACTGTAAGCGACCATGAAATCGGATGTAAGATAAAAATAGTTATTTCCTGAGGGGGGGGTGAGGGGCTCTTAAACACAACCTAAATCATCATTAATTATTAAATTAGAAAAAATTAACATCCAAGTTCCATCATCAATTAAGAAGGCTGATTTGGTTGAATTACTATTGTTAAATGCAGATAGCAAAACTAACAGTAACAATAGTAAAAACTCAACAACTATAGAATATTTAAAATTAGAAGAAAACATCAACTTCTCTTACAACAAAGCAATAGAATTCTGATGAGTTATAGTGTTTACCAACAAATGAAAATGAAGAATGTATTAAAAAGAGTGATAAAATAAAAAACAAATAAATCGATAATTAGATCAAAATGATCAAATACTGCATATACAACATCCAAATGCTTTTTGCATATCTTTGATGACTGGACGCATCTGTCAAGATACTTTAACTAGCTCAATTTGTAGAGAACTTCAAGGGCTATCGAATGATATATTTTTGAAAATATGTAAGTTTTCGTTATGACAGAAAAATGATTAAATAAGTGTTCTGCACGTGTTTTCCGTACTCCAACGCTCCTTTCGCATGTCTTTGATGATTGGACCTACCAGTCAAGATATTCTAACCATCGCAGCTTGTAGAAAATCTCAAGGGCTATCTCTTCGTGGGTTTAGTTAGTCTTTTTGAATCTACGAAAGCTGAGAAAAGCAGCGTTTACTCAGCATGTAGACCTCGTTTTGAGGCTGTCGATTGGGATGGTATTGGACAGAAATTGACGGGATTTTAGTGAACAAATGTACTCGATTTTGCCTGGAATCGAATACTGGTAATTTTTTCTCTATAGGAAACCATTCCCATTACGGCACTTTTTGAAGAAATGTGCCATTTTTTTTGATTTATTATTTTTTTTCATGGAATCGTATATACCAGGAATGAAGTACACTAAGGCTAAAAGCGTGGATTTATAGGTTTCACACATACTCTACACAATGGAATTAGTTTGAAAAAAATTCGAGATGGTCATTGTGCATGCTTCTGTGGGAAGCTGGCGTTTTTCTCATGCAATTGTTCTTAAGAATCATAGACTCGGAAGGCCGAATGTATGCAGATATGACAGTCTTTACTATTAATGAATTGATTGTGTTTCGAGATCTATTCTGCCTGTTTTCCTTCCGAAATTCATTGTGTTAATTTACGAGCACTTTTGTTTTTATATCCTAGGTAAAATATCGTTCTGATAGCTCCTTTGTTTTTGATTTTTCAGTAAGAGCTGGAACCAATCCGAATACTCATTTGAATAGCCCGAAGATTTTTATATCAGATGATTTTTTCGATTTATTTTTTTTCATGGAAAAATCAATTTAAATCGATTTTTTTGATGTTAAAAATGTTAAACGTTAAAAATTGATTTATTATTTTTTTTAATGCAAAAATTGATTTAAATCGATTTTTTTTGTTGAGAAAAACTTATTTATATTCATTTTTTTAGAATTCTTTTAGAAAGTCTGTTTAAATTAATTTTTAAAAAATTCATTTAAATTCATTCTACATAACGTTTCGTGCGAAAAATCTATTTAAATTAATTTCTTTCTCAATGAATCTGATTTTGGTTTTTGTAAAAGGTTAATTTGAATTTCTTTTTTCTCCAAATCAAAGATAAAATGCACTTAAATAGATTTTCTCAAAAACTAAAACCAGATTTATTGAGATAGAAATAAATTTAAATAGATTTTTCATACAAAAAGTTACGCAGAATGAATTTAAATCGATTTTTTTTAAAATTAATTTAAACAGATTTTTCTAAAAGAATTTTAAAAAAGTAGATTTAAATAGGTTTTTTACAAAAAACATTGATTTAAATTGATTTTTCCATGAAAAAAAATAATAAATCAAAAAAAATGGCACATTTCTTCAAAAAGTGCCGTAATGGGAATGGTTTCCTATAGAGAAACAAATTACCAGTATTCGATTCCAGGCAAAATCGAGTACATTTGTTCCCTAAAATCCCGTCAATTTCTGTCCAATACCATCCCAATCGACAGCCTCAAAACGAGATCTACATGATGAGTAAACGCTGCTTTTCTCAGCTTTCGTAGATTCAAAAAGACTAACTAAACCCACGAAGAGATAGCCCTTGCGATTTTGTACAAGCTGCGATGGCTAGAATATCTTGACTGGTAGGTCCAATCATCAAAGGGGGGGGGGAGGTCCCCTTAAATCTACGACATTCCAAAATGCACTAAATCGCGAAAAAAACATATTAGTTTTTAAAAACTTTCAAAACAGTTTGTTCCTTCGTAATTTAGTGCATTTAGAATGCCCTAAGCTTTGTTAGAAATAACTATGGAATTTTTGTAACAGACGCATTTTGTAGAACAGACAGTTTTCTACAAAATGAGGCGCTCCGCAGCTATGAGCGAATTTTGATAACCGACGTGTAGCAATTCTCCCGGATGCCCCAACACCAGTTTTTAACTGCTGCATACCTAATTTGGTACACTCAAGAACTATATGCTTTTATTTTAGTCAATGTGGGTCAACACAAAGCATAGACGAAAGTAGTGAAATAGTGACATAAAAAGAGTGTGAAACACTGATTTCAAATATTGTAAAAACATACTGTGAACTTTCTCTAGTTTAAATAAAAAGTTTTTTTGAAAAGTGGTGAATTATTTTTGCAAAATATTATAGTGTAATATATTCACGATGTTCACTTTTCCGGATATACAACATTCTACAAACAAGCGTCTTTTTCTAAACCGCTTTTGGGTTTAGTGGGGGTTTAGTAAAATGCAATGACACGCTATGAAAGATCAAGTTGAGTAAGAGTTTTGTTCACTTTCAATGCCTCGGCCAGTACTTCGTCTTAGATATTTGGTTATCCTGAAGATTAAGTTGCGTGAGAGTTTTGTTCACTTTCAATGCTGCAGCCAGTGCTTTGCCTCCTATATCAGATATCTGGTTATTTCGAAGGTTAAGTTGGATGAGACTGTGATTTCTTTCAATGCTTCAGCCAGTGCTTCGCCTCCTCGAGGAGATATTTTGTTTTTTGCAAGACCAAGGTGCCTGAGAGTTGTGTTCACTTTCAATGCTTCAGCCAGTGCTTCGCCTCCTATATCAGATATTTTGTTACTTCCAATATTAAGTTGTGTGAGAGTTTTGTTCACTTTCAGTGCTTCAGCCAGTGCTTCGCCGTCTGTATCAGATATCTGGTTATTTCGAAGATTAAGTTGGATGAGAGTGTGATTTTTTTTCAACTGGTTTGCGAGTATGATAGGAACTCGTTCCGATGTGTTCGCATGTTCTATGATATGTATATAGCTATAGAAGCTCCATTCCATATCCAGTGTCAATGACGATAGGTGTGTCATGTGGAGCAAATGGGACAGCATGTCTTTGACCAGTTGTTCCGGATGAATATTGTCCAACGATAAGGATTGAAGTTTGGTCCAACTTTTCATTGGGAAACGGTCGAAGAACAGGTCGATGCATTCGCAAATCTGTCCTTCGAGGCACAGAGAACGAATTTGTGCCGTAGACGGAAAGTGTTCGCAGATAAAGTTGAGCCTGGATTGGTTGATGCGATTAAAGTTCAAGTCAAACTGAAGACTACCTAGTAGCCTGTTGAGACGGTCATTTAGTCCAAGGAATGAATGCAGAATATCATAAGCGTCGAAATACTAGAAGACTACAAGAATCAATTCATTCGCAAGCGATTGAAACTGTGTCACGTCTAGTCATCTTATTCGCAGAGGAATCCGTGAAGGTGAAGTAGTAGCGAAGAAAATACTACACCCGCGACCACCAAATAACAACGTTAAAAAAAAACCGAAAACAAATATTTTCTTTGTACTCTCGTACTATGGTCATGAATCAATAGTATTTGGCAAATACTATTTGCTGAACGTATGAAGAAGATCTGCAAGCGACTATTACCCCTCATTCAAGTTAATATCGTGTTTCGCAAGACATTTACACTAAAAAGTGTATTTTTACCACTACAAAAAGGACAAGACGAAGATAGAAAAAAGAAAAAATTAATTTATCGTATGTCATGTAAAAACTGTGACAAACACTACTATGGGGAGACAGTGCGAATGAAGGAACATCAAGCAGACATTCGAAAATTTACTCAAACATCAGGAATTGTACAACACATCCTCGAACGACAACATTCCTTCGACTTTAAAAATGTCGATACCCTAAGCCTAGAAACAGATTGGCGGAGACGTATCATAAAAGAAAGTTTATTTACACATGAGAGCCATGGTAAATCTCTCAATGAAGTAAAACATAAATTAAAGGTTTTCGGATGGCGTTTTTCAATATGTCCTTTAGGACGTGTTTTTCGGCCGGAAAAATGTTCTACGAACAGATATTTTCGAAAATATCTGTTCTTTTCCCCGTTTCTCGTTTTTCATGTTTATATATATACATATAGTTTCTGTGTTCTTTGTTATTCGTTCTCCTGATGATGCCGAGTGTTACTCGTCGAAAGCTTGAGATAGAATTACTGTGGATTTGAATAAAATCTAATCATGTACTTCGTAGCAGTATGGTACTATCTGATTCATTAAAATCTCATTTAAAAATTTAGACATTTGTGACACAAGGCCGTTGTATCACAAAATATCACTTTTTCTAAGACTTTTGCAACAACGCTTATAACTCTTCCTATAGCCATGATAGATTTAGAGACGTAAATCCGGTCTACAGGCAGTAGACAATGAGGGCGGGTCTTTAGACTGTCCACTTGGGACTGATAATTTCTTATTTAAGATTCTTATCAATATTCTACACATGTCCAGCGACTGCCTTCAGATTCATAAGATTTCTATAGGAATTCTATATAACATTTGATCTGTAGGGAATCCATCGCTAGAATATATTTGTCGAAGGTAACTTTAGGAAATAACTTTACTGAAATGTGTGTTAGTCTTTGCAGAAAATAAAAAAATTTAGTTGAAACAAATCCTAGTCCACTTCGTTGCAAAATGAACACACACTACTAAAGAAATATTGACACATAGACCAAGAAGAAAAAGACCTTTAGTCAAAAATTCAAATTCTTTTAGCAAACATTCTTTTTCTTAAAAGACAGAAAAACATGTTGTTTTACAGAAGATTTTGAAAAAAAGTTAAATAATTCCAACTTTTTCATAACTAAACATGGTTTTTAACGGTAAAAACTGTTTCGCCAAAAGACGATTCCCCAAAAGACAATTTGCCATGGCGAAATGTCATCTGACGCCATGGCAAATTGTCTTTTGGCAAATCGTCTTTTGGCGAAACGTCAGAGATCCTTTTTCTTGCTAGTGCGTAGCAGAGTAGGAAACTCTTATAGATCCGAGTATAATCTCATCGAAGTAAGAAAACAATTCTTACGACAGTAAAAAGAAAGAAAATGAAGTAGAAAACTTCTCACCATGGATGACCAACCTTGGTTTTCTTAAAAAGGATTACTACTAGGCAACGATACAGATAAAATTTACCGGTAAGTAAAAATATAGGGGATACAAGAAACCTTGAGCATTTAAAAGAGGTAGGTATGTGCGAAAAGACATAGCTGAGCTATTCGTCTGAATAGACTACGCTTTTTGCAGTTTATATCTGCTTTCTGAACCTTTTTAAAGTAGAACTAAATCATTAAAATAACCAATTTACAGAGTAAGTACACAGCACTTTCAGTGAGTGAGAGAATAGGGATATTATCCCTATTCTTTTATTTTTTTTATAATATAAAATCCTTTCTATTTTACTGTCGCACAGTTGCAATTTTTCTCAATT